TCGATAGAAAAGTAAATTATCATCGTATCAGTTAAAACATCAGTAAGCTATCCCTCGGCCGTCAACATAGTTGCACATGCGCCTTTGACGTTACCGTTTGTGTCCTGTGCACCCTCAGAAACAGACTTTGGCTACTAAGCAATGCAAAGGTTTACCTTTGTGAAGTTGAGCTTTGGAAACCGGCTTAGCTGCCAGACACGCAAAGGCTAATTGCTCTTGTTGCTGCTGGTGCTGAGATATTGAAAAAAGGTCGCGTTTCGACAAAAAATTCGACCGCCACGGCTCTGTGCTTCTTCGCTTGTCCATCGATGGAGACACGTCGTTCATGCAATCCTGCTGCAGAGAGTGCAGAATGTCGTCCAGGGACGACACGTCTGCCGACCGAACGGATGACAGAGATGGGGGAGCGACAAGCGTAATTTTCCGATGGTCTTCTATAGACTGTCCCCGGCTACAATGGACAGCGGTGCAACTTTGGCCAGTAACGCCGCTGCGACACCTCTCCGTGAAGTGAATCACTCGTTGGTGGCGGAGGTCCACTGTGCTGTTCAGGTTCTGAGTGACGGTCGAAGAGATTAGGTGGTGCTCGATCGGTCGCGCAAAGTATGCAGCAGCTGAATGCTGGTCACTGGCCGACGGGAACGAAGCGGACCCGGGATGGTTCTGAGTCTGGCCGTGTGAAGCTTTCGACCAGTTACACGGGATTGGCTCCGGTTCCGGCTGCAGGCTGGACGCCCCAGATTGGCTGAAGCTTGTCAGGCCGTTGTTACTTTCAGGCCAGCTGTTGCCTCGTTTGTCGGGCATTATTCTTTGTGAGGAGAAAGAAACACCGCCCCGACTGTCGACTGGCAAGAGAAGACTTGGATGAGAATGAGGAAGGAGGCAAAAGCTCGCTGCGGCCGGAAACAGCACGCTGTGGTCACCAAAGGTGACTTTTCAGGTCAGTCGTGCTGACGTTTGTCTCGACGGCCACCTGACGACCAGAGGCTGCCGCCGCCAACTTCGCGCGCACCAGATAAACATGAACAAGGATCGACGATGAGTACTGAGGATATTTCTGATGATGGCTCATGCTGTAAGATGACGTATGATCTAATGCTGCGCCTGCACAACGGTGGCTGCTGCCACTTCATGCTTTTTCACGC